TTTATCATCATTCAATCCATGACCAAAAACTCAACGATGTCTGGCGTCGAAGAAAAAAATGCCCACACTGAATATAAATCTTGACTCCACCCCTGATGGTAGACTGTGCCGGAAAGTCCTTTCTTCATTCAATTTCTTGAAGTTCGAATATTGATCTTCTTGTATATCTTGGACCTCTTTTAAGAGTCTATCAACCCCAAACTATTTTGACTTTAACTTGGACTAAATAAATCATAATTTGACTTTAATTACAATTCAATTAATTCCTAATACAAATCAACTACAAACATGATTGTGACTTAGAAAATTCCACGTCCACACTTCCCTCGCTTCTCATACGCCTTGCCTGGCAATAACGTGATCCTATGATTCACTATGATCCTATGATTCACTAACTTTGCACCTATGAAAACATCCTCTCATTGCTCGCAGGTTCTTTTTGTGAAGGATGGACTAATTGGTCAAGCCTTGCCCTAAGACGAGCCTTTAGCAGAACCAAATGTAAGTGACTAACTCCAACAGTATCGAGGAGCGAGGACCAATTGGTGAACCATGTGCCCTTAGTTCCTAAGTTGTGGTAAACTTGGCATTTGGAGCATAAGGCCCACATATTTATTTGTTAAGGAAACATTTATCAATCTCTAAATATCTGCCTAGAATCTTGTGTGATCAGAAGAACATCTAGAATCATATCTGTCTAACTAGGTAATTCTATTTTTTAAGAAAATAATATTGCACACAATTACTCAACTATGTGCGATACGTGCGTCTACACCTATCCAAATCATGATTTGGGAATTAAATTGATGAGATTACTACTTAATTGTGTTGAATATCGCTTATATATTCAGGTTTGGATGGCTTTTGATTAAAAAAAGTGATAATCGACAGTAGAAGGACCAAAAAAAAGAAGAATTTCAAAGTTTAGGGACCAAAAAAACCCAAACTAAACAAAAGAGCAAAACTGAAAACCAAAGTGGGGTGCGATCTGACCACGCAACCCCTAAATTCAGCCAAGCAAGTTTCAACATTGATATTTGTTGCTATCACATACCATGAAGGATTTAGCCCCTTGTACATTATGGCTATCATCCTGGACGTGAGTTTTGACCTAATTTCAGCACCTTTGAGTATAGAACATCATCCAAAATTACATGAGACCTTTCACATCATATAATACATTAAATCTTGCAGCCAAAGGAGGCCAAATCGTCATTCTTTTGAGAGAAATTAGAAGGCAAGATTTAAGAATTTCATCATTTGAAGATTCAATCTTGGTTTTGGACAAGGAAGATGAAGGTGCAGTTGGAGATTAACCGAGGAAGATTGAAGAGATTCAAAATTTTGTGGTTATTCCTCTTTTTCTTGATATATCTTAAATTCGGGCAATATCTTATAAATCAAACATGAATTATTGTAATTTTGTAATGTTGGTTAGATTTTCAGTTGCTAAGATATAGATAAACCTTTGTTATGAAATTTTAAAATAATTTTCAAAATTTTGAAACTCAATATGTGTGTTATTTTTGAATGATTTTATATAGTTTTATACTTTTCAATTACCTGATCAATAAAGAGAAATAAAAAGAATGATACACATTATAATCATTGGTGATTGGGCTTGTAGAGGATAGAGAAATACTACTATATCTTGCATGACTTCATAGGTGTTCTAGTGCGTAATTTCATGTTCACATATTTCATAAAGATATATGAAAATCATATGAAATCATATGTTTAATTATACTAAAGAGAGAGTATTAAATAAAATATGAACATTGATCATTAAGAATGAATAAATATTGTCACGGTATTGAATTATATTAAAATGGATTGAAAAGGGAAATTCGAAGTCTTAGTGCGTGTTCAAACCAAGTTTACAAAGCTTTCTTAATTGCACATTAGTTAATTCAACGAGATAATAAATGTAAAATTACAAAGTATAACTTGACTATTCGATTAAAGTTAGTATTAATTAGAACTAGGTTAATCACATAATTTCGGTGGGATGATACAATATTCATCATTATATTACTTATCTACGATATTGTGCACTTACGAGATTTCATTGACCAATGTGTTAAATTAGTTCACTATTATAATTAACCTAAATTTATCTATAAACACTAGTGACTAAAGCACCATGGATGATTAGTAACAACATGATCAACGATATTGACATTGGTATTCGCGGAGGAATGTGTGTCGATTATCAATAACAATGTCATCATTGGTAATTCTATTTGAGTTATTGACATATATCGATTCCAATTAGAATCACTGAAAGTCACACTATCAATAATCACAGACGTCTCATTGGTGATTCCCACACATCGCTAAGCCTGCCTCTATAGATGGCAAATGACCTCTTAATGGGCTAATCAAAATTTTTTAAGGAATGCAAGTTGAATGTATAATTTTGCACTTTCATTATGGTGTCTTCTAATTGAATTCAAATTGCTTATCTTGGTCTTTTCAACATTCAACGAGCATCCTACATTCAAAAGGTAACGACGTGAGTCTTCATTGAAACCCAGTAATTGAGGTAAACAACATAGAAATAACAACCATTTCTATACTAGTTTGGGAAGAACAAGAAATCCACTATTTCTATGGCATGGCGGGAAAATCAGGCAAGGCTTAATCCTCTCCTAATAGTTGGTTGCACATCATTCCTATTGTTTCTCGAACTTCATCTTAAAGAACGAGTTTCTTCCTATTTTTATATTGAAGAGTGAGATGGGATTGGGCTTTACTTGTTGGAAGCTCTTTCAATTGCGACTATTAATGGAAGACTCTTAGATGTGCTTGTTTACGAATTTCATCTCGACAAGACACAGTTTTTCACCTGAATTAGAGTACGCTGCTTAGATGTGTGAAAAAAGTAACTTATATTGGACAAAATAAGTAAATTTACAGCCAAGCACGATGTATTATTCCTAAACTACCCCTAACCATACACACAAGTCAACAAACTATAGTTAGTTAATCAATGATTCTTATATAAACCGTAAATACCCCTCTTCCTTGACACCCCTTAAAGCACACTCAACCCTCCACACCTTTATTTTTGAATCTTGAGATCTCACCCCCACGCCCACCCACCTAGCCCCCAAAATAATGAATTCTGCACAGCGAATAAAATGGAAGTCGTGCTTGCGAAACAAAAGCCTAAAAATTAGGCAATAAAGATCAAGAATTTACATCGACGAGAATCAAGAAAATGGAAGAGTCAATCCCTAATAGTCCCTCAAACTATGAAAATTCAATTACGGGTATGTCCCTCTCTTTTTTGTTGCAAAAGTTCCAAGATTTCGTTTTTTTTCGACAGAGGGACCTGTCTCTGTACAAATATCGGAAGTAGACCCATTTGCTTTCTTTTCCTCACTTGGGTCTCTCTCTGTCATCGAGACATATATATGGTATACTGTTTTGGAACCAATCGAACCACGAGACAGAATTACGTGGGATTTGAAATTTTTTGTCATGGGTTTTAAAGAATTTATTTGAAGAATCAAGACCCTAGATCAATAATTCAACATTGATTTCTTCCCGCTAAATACCCACATAAAAATCAATGCCAATTTGCCTTAAAGCGTTTCTCAGAGGTCCTAAAACCCTTATGCGCACACATGCACGTTCAATGTGTTAAGATGTATTAATTTCTTGATTTGCTCTGTACATGTATATTTGAAAGGGACTATTTCAAAATAATGGCAGGATGACCCAAGAAAGTTGATGGGTTTGGTGTAGAAAGCTTCAATTCTCCTCTGAAAGTTCAGAAAACTGAAACCTGCTTTGTTTTTTAACCCTACTCCAAAGGGTCTGCTAATCTTGCCGAAAATAGTGAAAATAATAGTGATAAAAGGCTGAAATTTTTATTTTTTTCGAACGAGATTCTCGAGGATCTGCCTAAGAAGTTTCTGGGATTTCTCAGTTTATGCCATTACCATTCGAGATTGGTGATGGGCAACAAATTGATTTGTTAAAGCTATATGCTTTTGTGAAAAAAGGATGATTAAAATGTATTTATGGAGTTTAGTGGCTAGATAGTGTGGGTTTGATTTTAGAATGTTTTTGAGTAGTCAGATACATTTGGTTAGGTCAAGTGTTGGTATACGTTGTGTAGGTTGATATCAAGGACTGAGGTTTTGGTTTTAGTGGATTTTCTATGGGGATGGAGTCAAATTTGAATGTGTTTTTTCCAGTGAACTGATTATAGATAAAAATATAGCATATGGGAGTTTGTGAACCTAACCTTTAAAAGGAGTGCTTTGAACTCTATGGCTAAAAGAGGATTGTTTAATAGTATCGATGGTTGGGTTTTCATGTTATCAACTAGTGATGATGAATATATAAACCAAGAGGAAAATAAACAAGGTACTGAGAATTTTGGTGAAGAGAGAAATGGTGTTCAGGGTGGGAATGATGATCAAGTGGTAATGGATACGAGTGGTGTTGGTGAAGACTCCGCTAGCAGGAAAAGGAAGTTGGAGTGCTACTGTGGCATGCTGGATTGGGTCACTAAGGTTGCAAAGGATCCTTGTGACCTTACAATTGGGGATAAGTGGAAGTCCTATGGTTGCGATCAGCTTTTGGAGCAGGTTCTCTTGATTCGTGATGCAATGCTTATAAGAAGAAATGCTGATTCTGGCAATCGACAAACAATTTCGCAGGTGTACATCATATTCTTTAATCATATCTGTATATGAGTATTAAATGGGATAATATTATCAATAATCGTCCCTTGGCCGATTTGATAACTATCTATTGTTTGTTTTATTTAGTGAAATAGTATTGCTTTACTCACTGCAATCTTTGGCTGTGCTTCAATATGTTGTACATTTCACTTATGATACTTGATATATATTTGAAAAAATGGAATCATTGTTCGACCTTTGTCAATACTGTATTAAGCGCCATGTTTGGTAGGCGAGTATAATTTTTTAAAATTATAAATAGAAAGAACTGATGGTGGACAAATGGGTAATACCCGTAGATCCCTCAATATATGTGGATAAAAAGTAGGTTTTGACCAGACGTGCATTGTGTGTATTTTGTGTCTGGGTTGCGCCAATGATATATTAATTTGCTTATTTTGATTGAGTTATCCAATGTTTTAAAAAGGCTCAATTGGGTGTTAATTAGTTTTTTGTGTCCAGTGAGGCACAAGCCTCACAACGTTTGAAGCACGAGCCTCAATATAAACAAATAAAATAATTGAAAGGAATATGGTAGACAAAAACTACTAACCATACTGAAAATCCATAACAAAACAAATTAATAAAATTAAAAGTCTAACTTAGGACAAGCAGATTGGTGAGGCCTTGGGTTTGCTCCACAATGATCACCAGTTTGAATCCTCTCAGGGCCACTAAGGTGAGTACCCGGCCGTAAACTTCAGGGTCTCGTGAAATTAGTCGAGGTGCGCGCAAGTTGACCCAGACATTCACGGTTACCAAAAAAAAAAATTTAGGACAAGCGGAAAAATGGATTATAAATAGCACAAAGTAAGCGTACTCATCAACATTTTGATTCTCTTATCATACTCATTATCACTAAAAATTTATTTTTATTCTTTTTCGTCATCCTCCACTTGCACAGGTGCGTTCTCATTCTCCTTCCATGTGATGCTAAAAAAAAAAGAGAGAAAAAACCTCGCAAAACACTCTAGGCTCCAAAAATAGCCCCATAAACTAAGACCAATAAAAAGCCCCCCAAAAGGCAAGACAAACAAGCCCAAGTTAGCTACCCTAAGGCGTCAGCCTTGAAAATGGCTCTCATGGTGTAAACTTCAATGTGTTTAATGAAAGCCTCGTGTGATGTGGTCCTCAAGGCACAAGTCTCAAATAATTTTTATTTTACTTATTTATTTTTAAATAAAATGGTGTTATCGTCAATGCAAGCTTTCCTTGACTAATTATGGTTTGTAATTTTGTTTTCTAGGATTTCTGTCCTTTATTTAGTCTAGTTGTATACAGTTACATTCTTTTTCTTATTTCTAACTTGATTGTCATTTTCATCTTATTGCTATTCATTTAATTATCAAGCTAATATCGATGCTTGCTCGATGCAGAAATGTGTTGTTTCCTTGGTTTTAATCTGAATTTTGCACTGGTCATCATCTTGCATATCTTGGTTTGTTTTGATATTGAATGCTTGTGCAATCATTGTTGTGGGGGAGAGTGTCGTATATTTTGGTCAAGGGATTTTCTTTTGTCATTTCACTTGTGTGTTGCTTCTAGGCTTTTTATTACTGGATTCAGGTTCTGGGACTCTTTTTATGGCTTAGAAAATTTACATTTTCCTTTTATTTTATATTTTATGCCCTTACATGAAATGGCAAGGTAACAACAGCATTACAAGTGAAGGACAATTACAATTAATGAGAAGAAACTGATAAGGAAGAGGATGACAAATAGGCTAATCAAATATTTTTATGATTATCTGGAGGATCCTATTAGTAGTAATAAAATTTCAGGAATTATAGGCTGTTTTGACTTCTAGTAGTAGATTACAATTTATTCTTTAACTACTAATTTGAGACCTTATTGTTTGCTACTTTATCGGTCTACTTTAAGTTTGCTTGCAAGTTAGATTTTAAATTTTGTTATTGATATTTTATTATATTTTCTCAAGATGATTTGTGACTTATTATGAGTATGTTTATAAATCCAGTCGTTCTTTGATTTACTATATTAGTACCTTGCAGAAAAAGCAAAAGATGCATCCAAGCTTGTACAATGATCGAAAAGGTTCTGAAAGATTGAGATGCAGTGAGAGGCTTCTATCTGCAAAAGATTCTCCTAAAAATTCGCGCGATCATATCAATGTGAAATCACCATCCTCAGGTTCTCATAGTGATGAGGATTGTGCTGGTGAACAGTCTAATTCACCGGCAGACTCTGTTGGTTTTGCTGGAAACTTCCATCGCAAGAAGAAAATTCCTCTAGGTCCACTTTTTCAAGCAGACGTTCCAGACTTTTGTGGAAAGGCTTACGAAATTGACTGTAAATGGTTGGGTACACGAACTTGGCCACTGGAAAAACAAGAACAAAACAAAAATTTGATTGAAAGGGATCCTATTGGAAGAGGAAGACGAGAATCATGTAGCTGCCAGTTCCCAGGCTCTCTTGAATGTGTCGAGTTCCATGTTGCTGAGAAAAGGATGAAGGTGAGTCTTGAGTTGGGCTCCGCTTTTTATAATTGGAAATTTAATAGGATGGGTGAGCAAGTTGCACTCTCTTGGACAAAAGAAGACGGAAACAAATTTCAGGATATAGTGAAGTCGAACTGTTCATCTTCAGAAAAATATTTTTGGGACGAACTTTTCAAGCTTTTTCCTAGAAAAGACAGAGAAGCATTGGTGAACTACTACTACAATGTTTTTCTTCTCCGGCGCAGAGGTTATCAAAATAGGAAAGATGCTAATAACATTGACAGTGACGATGAGGAATCAGAATTTGGACCGGTGGGTAATAGATTTGGACGAAAGGCTGCTAATTCTCCAGGCTCCATTTTTTGTACCCCAAAGAAATCTTACTCGAATATCAGATAGGTGCTTGGCACCTGAGAGCTAGTTTTGCTTCAAAGGGAATTCTAGAACTTGTATTCGAGGAAGTTTTTGCATTTAGGAATTTTCTCGTTCGCGAATTGCCAATAAACTTCATGATGCCCATTTTGTGTATTGGGAGACTGGCAAATACGCTGCATGATAATGGCAATGTTCTGTCAAAGAGGTTGGTGCAATTTTTGCGCTATCAAATCTAGTGGATTCTTTATACATTCTCAACAAGAATCTTGTACACTCATTACAAATATCAGTATCTAATTTTGGTTAGTTGCTGTCATTTCATTTTTGAAAAGCAACGATAGTGCAAGTAATTTTTGTTTTTTAGATTGTTTTTGAAACCTAGTCACTGAATTTTGCCGGTTTTCAAATGTTGGAATGTGGCCATTATTTTTAGCCAGAAATGTACAAATGCAACGACAAAACCAGAACCCTCTCTTTGGCAACTGTAACCTTGCTATCCGTTGTTAGTCTCAAGCATAGTTTCTTAAGAGTTGCATTGTTTTTTTGTTTCAATTTTTTTCCCATGCTTGGTTCGAGATTTTGTTCTGAAAGAAGCTCCCATGAACTCTAATGCTGCTAGTGTAGTTCTTATCAAGAGTTATAGACTTCTTTTCAATTCCAAGCTTTTTTTCTGGATAGAAATGCATTTTTTTCCCCCTGGCTAGTAGTTCTAGTTTCTTGCTGACAACCTTTTGAAGAGTTTAGAAGGTTGACATTTTCGCTAGAAAGAATTATTCTAGGACATGTTTGGTACACACTGGACAACATTGTATAAGACGAAAGATTTTCATCTTCTTTTTCTTTTTTCACCATGTTCAGCATTGTTTGGTCGAGCATATCAGATGAGCAATAAGTGGCCAGAGCCAAAAATGCAAGTAGGCTGACATTTGTTTGCACTGCACACTACGATAATGGTAGTGTTAAAGAGCATTCTATTCAATATTGTGTTACAACGCGTACTTAATTATGTAAGTACTTTCATGATGTTACTCACCAGAAAATCGAGGTTGAAATAAGGTCAAAGGTATACAGTAAGAGAGAAAAAACAGACAAGATGCTGAATGTATATCTTATGCAATTTGTGGGAAAAAAAGGTTATTTATGTAGTGATAGAAGATTGTCACTATCGGGATATTTGGACAAAAATCATCACCAGAGAAAATATGTACTAATAAAATTAAAGATTAAAGATTATAATGTGATAAAAATAGCTGGAGATATAAGTGTAAAAAATGAGCAAAAATTAAAGATTTTCACTCCAATTAAAATGCGACGTGAATATAATTAGCCTTAATTATATTATACGTGTAATGAAAAGAATTATGATACCACTTTGGATTACCCGACCACACCTCTTCCCTCACATGGAGGTCGGGTCCCACATCCAATAAATGTGTGGGACCCAACCCCCATGTGAGGGAGGGGGTGGACCCGAGTAACCCAAAGTGTAATTCAAATGGTACATGTAGCATAATGAAAAATACCATTTTGAATCAATATGTGGACCATGGCCATATCAATATATTTTTGCGAATGATAACTCGAGCATAGATCTCTCCATTTTCAAAAATTTAAAAATAAAAATAAAAATATCTTACCTCGAGTTTCATGTTGGTCTTTTAAGCATGATCACTATTATTTATGCTGACATTTGAAAGAAAAGCGGTCGATAGAGGTATGCGTTATTCAAGAGTTGTGTATTAGAATTCATTCGATAAATATCTTCACTACAGCCCTGCATGACGAGACTTGTCTTTTTTAAGACTAGTTTGAACAAGCTCACAATGTGAACAAATTTATTTAACACGTCAAGTCTTACCCTTCCCAACGTCAGCCCACCCATTCTTCCTCCACCCAAGACCTAATAGATAACCATCGGTGCCACTGCCAGGACCACCACCATGCAACACCAATGACCACCACACCACCATAACCATATTTAAAAGATTTCAACAAGAAAAACTAATAAAAGGAAAACCTCAACATCCAAGACAATCCGTCGGTGTCTGTGGCCGGCTACAGCCTGCAGCCATCACCCGACAATACCCTACTTACCTTTAATTTTGGATTAGGTAATTTAGTCTCCATTTAATTGGAAATCAATAAAGTGATAAGAGTTGAATGGTAGGCAATTCAGATACAGGGATAATATACAAAAAAGATATGTAAATTGTCCAACCATGTTAATTCGTCAAACATACAAGAAAAACAGTGATACATCTACAAGAATCACAATCCAGCGCCATTGTACTAAGGCACCTAAACGCCAGAGAATTGTTTTCTTTTTCATCTTGAACTAACTTACATAAAAATCATAAATGGCTTGGGGGCCTCCTCCCAGCACCAGTTCTCGTCCTCTTTACAGGATTTGCCCAACCAACAGAGCCACCACCACCACTATTCTCTGGTTGTGGAGAAATGGCAGCCCGCCCTTGTGGTTGGGTACTTTGTTGGCTCCATAGCATATCTCTCGTGCCTGAACTCGAGCCAGGACTTCTCATACTACGGCTAATTCCAGTGGGTGAAACCGGACCAGTCAACTCATTCCCGGACTTCATGGCAGATTTCTCTCTCTCTTTCCTCTTCTTCTTGCATATAACAAGGTCCCCTGGATGAGTCAGTGGACGAGGTTCGTCCTTCTGTCCAATCTCCCGGCTACTGCCACTTCCAAGCCTCGACTCCTTTTGAGGCATATAGCTTTTGACCTTAGTGCTTTCGACAGTATGAACAGGAATTCGAGCATGTGGCTTTTGGCGAGGACCTGGATCAGAGTCAACATCCTTCACGGATTTTTGGCGCTTACTTTTACCAGCAAGCACCTGCCTTGATGATGAACCAGAGACTGGCATAGCAACTGGGCTGGAGAAAGATATAGAATTTCTGGCCTCCCGAAAATCGGTGTCTGGAAATGCTATTTTCAAGATATCAAAGAAAAGATCGTGCACTTTTCTTGCTTCAGTTCTCACCTATTACAATGTTTTCATAAAATTCATTTAGCACAGATCTTGGAATTTTTTAATACATATTGGCTATGTTTGGTACTTAGAAGTCGATACTAATGAAGAATACAAGATAAGTTTTTAGCTTCTTTTCCAATCCAACCTACTAAATATGCCAACAGAGTAGGGTGGGTACCACTCTAAGGGTTTCCCCGTTCAATTTTCAATATAATTCACATAAAACGTTCAGAGCTTCACTGATCTAATCATGTCCAAGAGGGAGAAAAATTATGATTCCCAAAACATTTCTTTCACTTCAAAAGATCGTGTTATTGATCTTAGAATTTTCTGAGAATTGAGAAAACATATAGTCGAATGCTGCACTAGTTCTTTAAAGTATCGTCTTCTTGTAATTTTACTCAGTAACCGAATGATCCTTATTTTACCCTTCTTTTTTTATTTTAGGGGGACAATGATAGCAATGAGTATCCATACCTCAAATGAGAATGCATAGTGTTGCATCCCATGCTTCAACATAAGCTGCACATCGGACACAAGCTCCATCACTCCGCTGTATTGACATTTATCAATGCACAGATCGATCTTCCGTAGATCCAAAAGGCTATCCCCTGCCCTAACTACGCTACCGGAGTTTTCAATTTTTCTCCACAGTTCAGTTAGCAGTGGAATTATTTGGTGCCCTTCCTTGTCAATTCTCCTTTGGAGCTTGCTAATAACATTCTTACACTGTAACACACCAACATGTATATAAATTGCGACAACCAAGAAAGAATGAATTGGAAGGTCAAGATTGAAAATATGCAGAGAGAACAAAAGGGTGAAAGGAAGAAAAAAGGGGGACTTGATGAAATTGTAGTGTAAAACTTGCCAAGAAATGTTACAAAGTTAAATAGCAACCGTACAAGGAATGGAGGACATAAAGATAAACCTCAAATGCAGTATCATAAATGCTTGATCCCTGTCAGAACCTAAAGCAAATCAAAAACAAAAGATAAAAGGGCAATCATACAACAAGCCATACAATAATGGCTGTGTCCATTAAGAGCCACATTCCTTACTGAGCCAAAAGACAAGCAATCAAAATCTTTTATCCATCACATTTTCAACCTCAACTTCTTTCTCATGATGTTTTCAGGCCAAAACTGTAAATATTTAATCGCAGTTTTGCGCACATAATATTGGTACGAACACTTTAGCCACTATAATGGATCGCGGAGTTTTGGGGCCTTACATAATTGGAGGAACAAAACACAATGGTTTTAAGAAATAAGTTTCATTTACTAATATTCCTAGGACATTAAAAAAAAAATTTTTGATAAGAATTAGGACATTAAAAATTGTTACAGTTAGTAGGTGTCCTTCAAAAATAAACTACCCTGAAATTCATCAATTCAAAAATGACTTGTGTTACCAGTATAGGACTAGAAGATAAATCTTATTCCTTCCATCTCAAAATGAATGTCTTTCCCTTTTTCGGAAATCTCAAAATAACATATACTACCTGATGCTGAAGGTGGCGGAGAAAGAAGAAGAGAGAAGAAAGAGGATTGAGAAGAAGAGGAGACGAAAAGTTTACCATATAATTATAATTATAATCTGATCAATATTCAGCAATAGGAAATTATAATTTCTTTATCATTTCAAATTCAAATAGTCAGGCCCACCTTATCATGCTTTTCACCTACTTCTAATGAATGAAATAAGGAGTACAAAAGCCAAAGTTAGGAAGACACTCATATCCTAAAGTCGTTCCTTAAAACTCGTACCAACACCAACTACGACATTCAATTTGATCATACATCAATTTTTACTATTCTTATTTATAGGGAGGTTTCATTTGTCAAATAGTCCACTCTCCCAAGCTCAGAATATACATGATCCGATGATCATTCGTAGTCTACGACATCAATATGTCAACTGCAAATTAACAAATAGCATATTTTAGGACTCTAGTTGCTAACAGATAAGAGAAGACACCAATTCGATCACATGCCACTCATTCAGAATCAGCATATTATCAAACAT